ATGTATGATTGTACGTTTATGGGAGTGCATTCTGTCATTATCATTCAGTACTAATACTATTTTTTGTATCAGTGTTGAGATTTTTGTACTCAAAATGTTAAACCAGAAGATTGCCATCTCCCTTAGAATAAGTAAACAAATAAATGTTTGGTGCTAAAATATTTTACTAAGTGTTTGGCCGAGCTTCTCCTCAAACTTGAGGCATGAGTTCTGTTGTTGAGACACAAACGGAGTTACCTATATATTTAAGACTGACACCGAACGCCAAATTATTTTATAAGAAGAGATTTCAAAGCAGAAATATTCTCGAAGGTTTGCTATTGCGTTCCAAAGGCCGACGGCTATTTTGAGTTATGATCTGATCAGGGATCTAGCCATGGTCCTATGGAGTGGAAATACGCACATGTAATCATTCTGCTACGGCGGCCGCCGTAAGTACATGCTATACCTTCTTCTTCTTCTTCTTCTTTTTTTTTTGGCGCTGTAACCGCCTAAGCGATTTTGGCCGAGTTCAGCAAAGCACGCCAGTCGTTTCTCCTCTGTGCCAACTGACGCCAATTGGAAACGCCAAGTGAAGCCAAGTCCTTCTCCTCCTGATCTTTCCATCGCAGTGGGGGCCTCCCTCTTCCTCTGCTACCACCAGCGGGTTCCGAGTTGAATACTTTCAGAGCTGGAGCGTCGGTGTCCATTCGAACGACATGGCCAAGCCAGCGGAGCCGCTGTATTTTAATTCGCTGCACTATGTCTATGTCGTTGTAAAGCTCATACAGCTCATCGTTCCATCGTCTGCGGTACTCGCCGTCGCCAACGCGTAAAGGACCGTAAATCTTCCGCAAAATCTTTCTCTCAAACACCCCAAGAGCCGCCTCATCGGATGTTGTCATTGTCCATGCTTCTGCGCCATATACCAGCACGGGCATGATGAGTGACTTATAGAGCGTGGTTTTCGTACGTCGAGAGAGGACTTTACTCCTGAATTACCTACTCAGTCCAAAGTAGCACTTGTTGGCAAGAGTGATTCTGCGTTGGATTTCAATGCTGACACTATTAGCGGTGTTAATGCTGGTTCCCATGTAAACGAAATTCTCTACTTTCTCGAAATTGTAACTGTCAACAGTGACGTGGGTGCCAAGGCGCGAATGTGCTGACTGTTTGTTTGATGACAGGAGATACTTCGTCTTGTCCTCGTTTACCACCAGACCCATGCGCTTTGCTTCCCTATCCAACTTGGAAAAGGCAGAACAGACTTCGCGGTTTTTGTTACCGATGATGTCGAAGTCATCGGCATAAGCCAGTAATTGCACGCTCTTGTAGTAAATTGTTCCTGAGCGGTTCATTTCTGCAGCTTTTATTATCTTCTCCAACAAAGAAGTCACATGAAAGGTTGTCGCCCTGTCTGAAACTTCGTTTTGTGGCGTTTGCTTAGAAGGCTGATCCCACGGTAGTTGGCGCGAATGGCGGGGTCACCTTTCTTGTGGATTGGGCAGACAACACTTAAATTCCAGTCATCGCGCATGCGTTCATCTGACCATATCTGCACAAGAGTTGATTCATGCACCTTATCAACTCCTCGCCGCCGTACTTGAATAGCTCATCTGGCAGGCTGTCAGCTGCAGCGGCTTTGTTGTTTTTCAGCCGCGTTATTGCTATACGTACCTCGTCATAGTCAGGCAGTGGAACGTCGACTCCGTCATCATCGACTGCGGGCTCGGGTTCTTCTTCTCCACAACTTTCCGTGCTGCTTCGATTTAGTAGGGCGGAAAAGTTTTCCCTCCATAATTTAAGTACGCTCTGGAGATCAGTTACTAGGTCGCCATTATTGTTCTAACAGGAGTACGCCCCGGTCTTTAAACCTTCCGTAAGTCGCCTAACTCTCTGGTAAAATTTTCGGTAATTCTTCCTGTTGGCCAGCATTTCAAGCTCTTCGCACTCACGTATTTCGGCCTCTCTCTTCTTATTGCAGCAAATACGTCTCGCTTCCCTCTTCAGATCCCTATAGCGGTCCCACATAGCGCGCGTTGCGCCCGATCGCAGCGTGGCCCTGTAGGCGGCATCTTTTTTTTCTGCAGCTTCCTGACACTCCTCATCGTACCAGTTGTTCTTTCGGGCTCGCTGAAATCCGACTACTTCTTCGGCGGTGGTACTTAATGAGCGGGAAATGTGGTTCCACTGCTCGCATATGTCGGTTTGTTGAAGAGTGCTCTCTGAGAGCAGGTGTGAGAGTCGAGGAGCGAAAGCGCTGGCTGTCTGTTGTGATTGCAGCTTTTCGACGTTAAGCTTTCCTTGCATATTTGGGCGCACATTTTTTGCTGCACAGAGGCGGGTGCGTATCTTGGCTGCAAGAAGATAGTGGTCCGAGTCGATGTTTGGGCCTCGGAGTGTGCGTACGTCTAAAACACTGGAAGCGTGCCTTCCGTCTATCACAACATGATCGATTTGGTTTCTCGTTTTTCGATCCGGAGACAGCCAGGTAGCTTGATGGATCTTTTTATGCTTGAACCTAGTACTGCATACTACCATGTTTCGGGCCCCGGCGAAGTCGATCAGCCTCAATCCGTTGTCGGACGTTTCGTCGTGGAGGCTGAATTTTCCGACGGTGGTTCCAAAGATCCCTTCCTTGCCCACCCTGGCATTGAAGTCGCCAAGCACGATTTTGATATCATGACGGGGGCAGCGCTCGTATGTGCGCTCCAAGCGCTCATAGAAGAGATCCTTGGATGCCTCATCCTTCTCTTCCGTCGGGGCATGGGCGCAGATGAGCGAGATGTTGAAGAATCTCGCTTTGACGCGGATTGTGGCTAGACGCTCGTCGACCGGGGTGAACGACAGTACTCGGCGACGGTGTCTCTCTCACCACAAATCCAACACCGAATTTGCGCTCCTTTACATGGCAGCTGTAGTAGACGTCGCTATACCTATCGTCGTTTAAAGTACTAAACCGCGTATCAAGAAAATGCAAAAACCGCGTAATTGCATAAATTATTTTCTAAAGAGTAAAATCACCCGTATTCCAAAATGGTTCTCTTTTTTTATAAAGAAAACTTATTTCCGGCTAGTATATTTCAGGACGAATAGATAAGAGTTGAGCCAAGAGCTTTTGTGAGCAAATCCAATTTTTGGCAGTAAATGTCAGTTACGCGGTTTTGCAGAATGACGATACGCGGTTTCGTACTTTAAACGACGATATGTATGTACACATATTTGATTATTTGTTCTCAAAATGCATGAAAACTATACAACAACTCTTGGACTTTTCTTCATTTGTAACAAATGACAGATGTAAACAAAATAAAAAAAATAATTGTAATTTTACAAATTTAAAGCAAACGGGCATTCTTTACAAAAAAATGTAGTTAGGGATCGAATTGCGCCAATTTTATTCCAATATCAAGTGCCCCCAAGAGGTGTTAAACCACTAAATAGCTTAGAGATCGCTTTCAAAAGTTCGAAACGAGAGTAAAGTGCAGTGTTCAATTGTGATCGAAATTGCAGGCAAAATTTGTGCGTGTGTAATTAATGTTTTACTTATTTGAAGAAATGTTGCCCCTTGTCTTTGAAAATAAGCAAACCAAGACCCCCGCTTCCCACTGGTGTTTACATAAGATTTGAATAGCCCCTTATACGGCGTTTCCACGGTTCGTAATTCGCTCTCTCATTCGTAATTCGCTCTTCCATTTGTCATTCGTCTTGCCAATTACCTTCCGAATTACGTAATTCGCCATACAAAATTTTGAGAGCGAATTACCTCATTTGTAGGTAATTCAGATCGAATTACCATGCGAATGACGAACGAATCGGTGCCTTCTCTAATATTTATCGAAAATATTTCGAAGTTTTCACCGGCCTGGTCCCATTTGCTGGCACTTTTTCTAGTTATAGAATAATATTTGTAGTATTCTTTTCTACACGAGCAGCAAAAGAACACTCCAACTCTGTTAAACTTGTCTTGGTAGGTCTGGTGTGAGTTGTCAGAAAATGAGCAAAACAACCAAAACAAAATGAACAATTGCATCGAAATCTTGGTAAATATGGTGATTATATAAAATTAAATATTTGAGAGTTAAACTAAATCTTTTTTTATAGGTTGCGACAATTTTGACGGAAAATCAAAGCGATTTACGCCGCATCCGCGCATTTTTTGAAGTTCTAGCTCCAGTTCGGACACAGAAAGCGAGAGTGAGGAACACCCAAAGTGCAGCAATTTTGAAGCCACTCTCGATTCCATGAGCGAGATGGATTTCAAGCTACATATGAGGCTGAAGCGAGGAACTGTGGATTATTTAATATGTAAGTAATACAAACAGTTCGGCAATTTTGGTCCAAAGCGTAACAACCAACCAAAGGATGGAATATTTCATGGGAACGGTTTAGTTATTTGCCGGACGATTTCGAGCTATTGTTTCCGCATGGGTGACCCGATCCAAACAAATTTTACACACAATTGAATTCAAGGTGTGCTGCGCAAAAATACTGTTTATCGAGCATACATATCGGGTGTCAAAATGTTAATTTACCATTTTCTAATGATTCCCCAGGGGTCTGTGGAACGTTTCAACTGTGCTCTTTCTAGTGGGTTGGAAATCAAGAGCCACGCCTCCTCCACCTCCCCCTACTAACCCAAAAACAGCGAGCAAATAACTAAACTTCCTTTTTTTTCGTACCTAGTGGCAGGGAATCACTTTTTAACTAATGTAAGATACTTTGTAGCACGTAAGCGTTATACGGACGCCAAACCCATATAAACATTAATCAGTTTTTGGAGCGTCGCAGTTATTGAAGCTAGTGGTAATACAAAGAATTGTCCTTGGGTTGGTTTTCACGTCCACATATGTTTGATTTGTGGGGTACATCTACATTCCATGACAATCTTCGATGTGGAATTCTCACAATTGGAGTGCTTTAAAAGCCGCCTATTAGAAAAAATATTGTTACCACATGTAGATCTGGACGAAAGTCGATTATCTATCTTGCATTAAGTAATATTTTTCTTTAACTTTCAGCAAGATATTCTTCATCTGAATGGTTACCTAATGAATCCGGTCGTGGAAGGTTGCGAATAAGTTCGAAAAAAGCCGTTTTTATGTACATTTGGTACGTAAGTAACACGGTTACTTTTAGGCAGTTGGCGAACTTATTTGGAGTAGCGCCATCGGCTGCGTGGTCAACAGTACGTAGAGTCACTTGGTTTTTAATTTCGATCAGCCACGAATACATTAAGTGGCCACAAGATGCATATATGCATGAAGTTGTGAATAGCTTCGAGCAAAAAGAAAAAGGTATACCCGGTGTTATTGGAGCAATTGATTGTACGCATATAGCTATAAAAGCACCTAAAGAGCATAAGGATAACTATTTTGACCGGAAGAAAACATACAGCATTGTATTGCAAGCGGTAGTGGATGCTAATAAAAAGTTCATTTGCATAAGTTGTGGTGAACCGGGATCCATGCATGATTACCGAGTATTAAGAAGATCTCGAATCTATGAACTGGCAGAAACGCGTTTCGAAGAAATGTTTCCGAATTCATCCTTCATTATCGGAGATTCAGCATACCCTTCAAGCAACTGGCTTGTATCCCCCTATAAAGATTATGGGAATTTAACGGAAAGTCATCGAAAATTTAATAAGTTACATTCTTCTACGCGCATAGTAGTCGAGAATGCGTTTGGGTTATTAAAGGGTCGCTTTCGGAGATTGCTTAAGTTTACTGAACAAATTGATTTAAAAGCTGTGACGAACATAGTAGCCGGCATATGTGTTTTACATAACATTTGCATCTCCATGGATGATTTATGTGAGTAAATTTTGAACAACTTGAGGAGAATATAGACGACGGGCCCCTTGACAGAAGAGAAGTTATGTTCAATCACTTGAGACGACAAAACATAATATAATTGTTTTAACTATTTATATAAGAGTAACATTATTTAAATAACTAAACATTTACCTTTCAACTAATAAAACTAGGTTATTTGTATTTCCGCTCAAGACTAACATCACAAACCCATCTTCATATATTTAAACGTAATTCATTATGCGCAATAATCGGTGACTTAAAACACTTGGAGAATTTTAAAAAACCATTTCTGCCATTCGAACAGGTATTTTTAACATTCAAAAATAGAAAAACTATGAAATTTTAGTTTTAAATTTTATTTCAGCTGTTTCGGCTTACTGTTACCGAAATTAATAAAAGTCAAAGGTTTTTTGCTGTAAATTTGTTCCGTTGACAATGGTGGATGGTGCTATGTTACCACGGTCAATTAGTGCTTTTTCTTAAAATCGAAAACTACAAATTTTTTCTTTAAGAAACGAAAGTTAATTTTTTTCCTTTTCACAACAAACTAATGCCGTAGTTAACTTTTCCAATTTCAAAAATTATTTACGTTATAATTTTCAAGTAAGCGTAATCTGTAATTTCAAGACAAAAATAAACTTCACGAAGTTATTTTTATTAGAGAACTAGCAGACCCGGCGAACTTCGTCCCGCCCAAAATTCATTTTTTTATTGAGATATTTGGTCCAACGTTTTCGCCAGCAACTCACGTTCATGTTTGGTTTTGTGGTCGACAGAAGGCATATCCCCATTGCCGTCTTAAATATCCTGACGAAAGCGTTATACCGGGAAGAAGTCTTTGCTGCTCGATAGTGGCAATTTACAAACTGGTGAGTATCATTGGTCCACATTCTGTTTAGTCACCGTAAAGCAAGGACCGCAATGGTTCTGATGGTTGATTTAACGGGAGTAATTTAACTTTGATCCCTGGTGCCTCCGAATCGACTGGGCTTCAGCGCCACCTTGCGTATCTTTTTTTCAATAGTATTGCCCCTATCGTTACCAGTACATATATATCTCGAATATGAGTCAAATCGGATCACAAATACGATTTTGAGTAATAACTCGACTCCTGCGTCACCTGGCGTTTTAAGTTGTGAACTTAAACTATACAGGGACCTACTCAAACACATACAAAAACTTCATTAAACCCGTTTCGATCGTTTATTAGGAGTTCACCCACCAGAATAAGTATTTTACATATGTACTGACACTCTTCGGCATTTTTCCCATTAAAAAAAAAACTATCACGCATTCGTTATACGGAGAAAATGCGCAACATCATCAGCGAAAAAGTTCTCAAAAATCAGTGCTAATTTATAGCTATTTAAAACTTTCACTTTATGATACTGAAATTGAGTCAACTACAAAAGTGCATACTCAAAATTTGGTGCCATTTGATGCAATATTAACTATATTTCTATAGAAAATAAACAAAAAAATGTATTATGAAAAAGAAAAAAAAACACTGTATTCTGGGTGTATGTATTTAGAGATAGGTAAAAGTTTCAATATTTTTTTAAATCGCCACGCCCCCTTTTCCAGTAGCCCCAAATATATATACCGATTTCCAGGACACTACCACAAATACTTCCAGAGATATACGGTATGACAAATTCGATATGTACGGGTGATGCCACGCTCCCTTAATATATCGAAAGTCTGCAGTAGGTGTCCAAAATTTCATAAAAATCGGTACAGCGGTTTTACCACCTTTTGCTTCCTTGCTAGAGGTTCCCAAATGTTGCAAAAAACGCGATTTTTTGACACTTTGACCTCGTTTTTCTGAAATCTGGAGCTGATGGAAACTCTATGCTTACGGATTCGTAATCAGCACAAAAAATCTGTCAAAAATATCGTTAACATTTGCTGCACCATACTTTTTCCATTTGTGTTGGTAATAAGTATTGTTAAATAGCCAATACCCGCATGTTTGGCGTGCCTTTAAACACCTTTCGAACTGTAAAACAATGACTCGATTATATTCTACGCATATCTATAATGCGGGCATCGAATTTAAAACAAATCGGACCATAAATAAGATTTTTTGGAAGGGATCGGTCCCTGGTCCACCTATCAGAAGAAAGTATCCTGTATGTTAATCCTGGCAATAAGCTACCTATATGCCAAACTTCAAGCAAGTCGCACCATAAATAAGATTTTTTCCAATATATCGGTATCTGGTCCACCTATCAGAAAAAATATCCTACACAGAGAAAATGATACAGGTAAAACGCAAGTTTTTAAAAGAAATTGTAAAATAAAAGTTTTTAAAATAATTTCACTTCATACAAAATAAAAAGTACAGTATTTGTATTTACGACTTTAAAACGAAACATTCGCAAAACAAAAATGATCGTTATAATATATTCACTTTTTTTTTACCGAGAAGAACAGACGAAATTAAAGAAATAACAGAAAAAATGCGTATTTTCAAAACTAAAATGAAACATTTCAGAATATTCTGCCAACGAATTGTAGTGCGATACAATTTTCAACAAGTAAAATAAAACTATACACTTTAAAAACAAAAACTTGAATTTATTTTCAGCCAATGAAGTATGAAAAATATTTAAAACTAAAGTGTTTTGCATTAGATTTTAAAAAGCTACCTACATAGCTATAATGAAAAGCATTTCATATGTTGGCATCATTTGTCGAAAAAATTGTGTTCATATAAATAAGTTACTTCAATCTTCAAAAAAGGCGATGAAGTATATACAAACAATACCGCCATTCTAACCATATAACTATATAGAAGGAACATTGGTGATACGGTGGACTTATTCGACCGAAAAAAGCTTTGGTAAGAAAAATTTACAAAAATAAGTTATTATGAGTTATTAAATAATAATTTAAAACTTTCTTGCTTTAAATTACAGGATTTGACCAGCGTGAAGCAAAATTAGCAGGCCCAGCGTTGAAGTAAGGCAGGCACATCTGCATGTATGTATATAGTATTTGTAAAACATCTGTATTTTATTTATTAAATTTTGTAACTTATTTATAAGTATATATGTATAACGATATATTTTTTAGAATGTATGTATATATCAAATGACTTGTGATTCAATAAAAATAAAATTTGAATATCATATTTAAAAACACATATTTTTAAAATGAAGAAAACACATTTTAGGATTTAATTTCAACATGGGCATATTCAATTATCAAACGATCGTTTTTAAAAACGATTTGAAAATGCGCGTATCAAAAACAAAAACATGGATTTTGGAAATTGAATTGCAAATTTTCGTTCTCAAAATTTAAATAAATACTGTAGGTGCAAAACCTGGATCAAAACGTTTTTAAAAGTTAAACGTTCCATACAAATTTGAAAGCGAAAATTCCTCTGTGTATATGTTAACCCAGGCAATAAGCTACCTACGTGCCGAATTTCAAGCAAATCGGACCATAACTAAGATTTTTGCGAATAGATTGGTCCCCCCTGGTCCACCTCTCAGAAAAAAGTTATTCTATATGCTAATCCAGGCAATAGGCTACCTGCTTGCCAAATTTCAAGCAAGTGGCACCACAAATAATATTTTTTCGAATAGATCGGTCCCTGGCCTACTTAACAGAAAAAAATTTATCCTATATGCTAATCTAGGCAAAAGGCTACCTACGTACTAAATGCAGTTTTTCAGCGTAGCTCGATCCCTGCGCCACATATCGCAAAATTCAAAACTTTGTACACTCCGCCTTCTAACCACCTTTCCAAAAACGCAGCAGCCATTCGAATCGGTTATGAAACATAGGAGAAAATTTTTCCCAATTGATTCCACCTTTACATCGTCCAAAATCTTCAAATCCTGGGATAAAATGTAAAATTTCGTCGAAAAAAATTAAAATTTTTCGCGTTCTTTTCCACTTAGAATTTTCTATTTTTCCATTCGAAAGCCATTCCGAAGGAATTGCACACAAAATTCCATTGTTCCAATTTCACAATTTTCCTGGAGGGTTTTTCCAAAATTTTCTTTCGTAAGAACCTTCTCCTGGCAATTACGAACAACTAAAAAAAATGTTTTCCAAGTGCTTGCTAGTCTTTCCATTGCACCACAACTAATTGGTCGGAGCGATTACGTTGGTGTAGTGTGCGCACCTCCATACATCTTCATGCACATATTTCAAGCGAGCCCTACTATTTAAATAGGCGGCCGATAAATTCTGTGGTATGAGGTGGCTCCTATAGCTGCATTATTACATCTATTCCGTGTGTTGCAATATCCACGGAAGCAGCAGTTATGAAGAAGAAAATGATTTAAAAAAATATTAGACAAATTCTCTACTTATATGTTTGGATTTCATTTGTTTTATTTTTCCAACGTCAAAAGCTGGACCTTTTTTTGAAAAAGTTGGTACAACAAAAAATACGACACACGTTTTCTGTCAGATGGCTAACATGGCGGATAAGAAGAAGACGTAAAACTACCTGGAAAAAAAGAATCTTATATGCTAATCTAGGCAAAAAGCTAACTACGTACCAAATTTTAAGCAAATCGGACCATAATTACGATTTTTTCCAATAGATCGGTCACTGGTCCACTTCCCGGAAAAAAAGCATTCTATGTGCTAATCTAGGCAAAAAGCTACCTAGGTACCAAATTTTAAGCAAATCGGACCATAAATACGATTTTTTCGAATAGATCAGTCCCTGGTCCACTTCCCGGAAAAAATTATCCTATATGCTAACATAGGCAAAAAGCTACCTACGTACCAAATTTTAAGCAAATCGGTTTTTTCGAATAGATCGGTCCCTGGTCCACCGGAGGGTTTTCCCAAAATTTTCTTTCGTAGAAACCTTCTCCTGGCAATTACGAACAACTGAAAAAAAAATAGCCAAATCGGCTCGACCGTTCGCAATTGATGAATTACTATACATTTTTCACACCATTTTTATATATATAGATGTAAATCTAGGACTAAAAACTGAGATACAATAAAAGTAGTTTCAAAACAAAAACAAATGTTTAAATTAAAAT